CTTCCTTCCTTCCTTCCTTCCTTCCTTCCTTCCCTTTCTTCTTTCTCTCTCTCTCTCTCTCTCTCTCTCTCTCCCTTCCTCTGTCTAAAATCAATAAAAACATTTCCCAGCTCTAGTCTTCTAAACACACTGCTTTCGGTGTCCCTTTATTGATAGCCCACAGCTACTTCTAAGGATATAGTTTCCTTTCTTTTTTTTTAATCCTCACCTGAGGGTATTTTTTCATTGCTTTTCAGACAGAGCGGAAGGGGGAGAGAGAGAAACATGATATGAGAGACACATCAACTGGTTGCCTCCCACATGAGCCCCAACTGGGGCCAAGGATTGGGCCTGCAACCGAGGTACGTGCCCTTGGCTGGAATTGAACCAGGGACCCTTCAGTCCACAGGCCGAAGCTCTAACCACTGAGCCAAATGCCAGGCCAGGATATAGTTTCTTTTACTTCCCTTTTCATACCCTTCAACTTAGACATGCAATTAGAGATAAGTAACATCAGGCATAGCTTCCGCCTAGGTAGAGAGGACATAACCATGTAGCAGTCAGAAAAGACATGGTGGAGATGCTGTCATTCCAACCACCCTTCCAACAAGGCTTCCGAAGGCAGCAAGCTATGGGATCACCACAGTGTAGGCAGGGCTTCAGCACTGGGCAACCAGAAATTCTTTTCCAGGGATTCTAAAAAGACATTAGGTTTTCAGGAACTGACTCACACTAACCAGACTCATAAACCAAAAGACCAATATATAAACAAGACATCATTTTATTTTTTTACAACAGGGATTTGCTTTTTCCAATGACTTGAATATTCATGAGCACAGTCCAGCCTGAGTGTTCTCTGTGAGAGCAAACCAACGAAGGCAGAGCACACAAAGAAAAGATGGTTACAAATGGGTATTGAGGGGCTGGCCATCTGGGAGCTATTTCACCCAGACCACCAAGGTAGTTCTTAATGAATCATTGGAAAATTTGAATCTTCTCTCTCTCTCTCTCTCTCTCTCTCTCTCTCTCTCTCACTCACACACACACACACACACACACTGGATAGATACTAATATATTAAAACTGCTTGCTTTTAAGTCCCAGGTGATGGGCAAAAAATATCTATGTATGGACATTCTGTGTTCATGTGCACCACTGCTCTCATGGTTCTGATCCTGGGTTCTAGTGGCACAAAAAAATCCATTTATGTAGTGAATCCACTGAGAATTGCATTTCAGAGGTCAACACTGAATACAGACCTTCAGCCTGGCCAGAAAGTTATCAAAGACTTGTATCCTCCAAGAAAATCCATTGCAACCCTCTATAAGTGATTCCACTCCTTGGACTTCAGTTTTCTAATCTATACAATCAAATAGCAGCCTCTATAATTAATTGTTGTGGTAGTAAAATAAGAGAAAACAGGAAAATACATTGTAAGGTCATATGTTTTAAGGTCTTTTGTAAATGTGAGAGGGAATATAGTAACTTCAGAAATCACTGCACCATACTGGTTATTTCTGGCAAGTATTCAACACCATATGGAGTCTTTTAGGTGATATTAGCCAAGTAGTGTCCTTGGATTACTTGTTACTCCAAAATCTCCTCAGCTGTTGTTACCCAAAGGTTTGGCATCAAATACCCTGGATGCTCTTTTCATAGAGCTCAGTCCAGCAGACAAGACACAGCACGGGTCCTTCCACAGGAGTTCTTGCCTGCTCCTGCACCCAGAGGCATCTCAGGAGTTTCCCAGCTTTAAGCAAACTGAAACAGAATCCTCTTAAGTGGCTTACTGAGTGGCTGGGAAGCCGTTGAGACACTCTCAGGAGCCCAGGTAAGTTTTAGGAAGAATCACAGACTCTGCTCCATGGGGACAGAGGTGAGCCGTGCACTGGACAGCACTGGGTGCACTGTGCCCCACGCCACAGAGCGTCTGCCACAGCCCTCCGACTGACATTCTCAGAGTCAATGAGCAGTAGTCTCTTGGACATCATTCAAACCTCTAGAATTTATTGAAAATCAAATGATTATCTCTAGGCAGAATGGCATCCAGAGGGGAAAATGTTAGCATCGGTGAGTGTACACAGGGAGGAAGGGGTGTGTGTGTGTGTGTGTGTGTGTGTGTGTGTGTGTGTGTGTGAGACTGCACAGAGTGGCTACTGCATCAGGAGGCTGGGTGCCCATGAGTTAGCTTCAATGTCATCAAGATGCAGTAGATGAGAGTTGTGAGGACTCTCAACTCTGGAACCAACTGCCTGGTCCAACTTCCAGAGCAGCCACTTCCCAGCTATGTAGTTGTGAGCAATAAAGTAGATTAGATCACTGTTCAGCCAGGACGCTTTGCCCACCATGACCTCCAGGGGAGAAATGTCTCCTTCTCTGCCCTTTTAAAGTTGGGTTTGGCCATGGCACTGGCTTTGGCAGATAGAATGTGGGCAGAAATGGCAGTGTGCCAGGTTTAAGCCAAGAGCTTGAGAAGCATCCCATGTGTTCGCTCATTTCTCTAATATCATCTGACTTGTCCATGAAAGGAGCCTGCCCCCAGTAGCCAGTGACTCTCCATCCTGAGCCCCAAATAAGACATATAGGACAGAACCATCTGTGAACTCACAGACCTGTGGGCTGTGTAAAAATAAGTGCCTGTTGTTCTAAGCCACTGAGATTTTGCTTTTACTTGTTTCGCAGCAAAAACTGACTGATGTAGGCAAATTACTTAAACGGTGTTTCTCTCCAGGAGAATGGGGAGAAAACTTCAGTGATGTCTGCTGCAAAAGACTGTTATAAAAATTAAATGAGTTAATGTGTATAAAGCACTTGGAACACTTCCTGGCACATAGTAAGTGCTTTAATGAGTGTTGGTTGTGGTTGTTGCTGTGTGTACGTGGGTGAGTAAGCAGGTACCCAAGTGGGCAAGAGTAGGTGAGCATGACTCAGGTGTCAGAGTGAGCACGTGGGAGTAGAAGGTGGTCGGAATAGGCAGGTGGGCATCTGTGCGCATGGTGGTGGGGAGCAGACCCCTCAGCAGAGGTACTCATTGACCCGTCTGCCCCCCCTGGCCTCTAGGAGCTGAGAGTCCAGGCTAGAACGGGCGGAGAGGAGCCTGTCAGTCTCGCTGAGGCTGTGCCGGGACAGCTCCTCAGAGCTATCTTCGCTGTGGCCCAGCCTCTCCAGGTTGACATGGGCACTGGTGGCCTCAATGGAGCCCCCTGTGTGGCACTTGTGGCAGCGCCTCTGGAGAGCACTGCAGCAGACGAGCAGCGTGAGGGGCAGGGCGATGACAGCGGCCACACTGACCACCACCACATTGATGAGCCTCTGAGTGGCCTCAGCATCCACCACCTCATTGGTGGAGAAGATGACACACTGCTCTTTCTGGGGTGCCAGGCCCCACACACAGACACATGCCACATACTTGGTCTTGGGCACCAGCCCATGGACGGTGACCCTGGTCTTCCCAGGCTGCACAGCCACCCGCCGCATGTCGTGCTGCCCAAAGACAGCATAAAGGACACTGAAAGCAGTTGTGTTCCCAGCCAGGGGGGCCTTCCACACCAAGGTCACACTCTGGTAAGTGTCCCCCACCACCTTGAGAGACCTCACCACTCGGGCCTCCTGAGGCCCCATCTGCCCATGCGAGCGCTCTCCAGGGGCCCCCATCTGGAAGTACTGGAGCATCAGCTCCTCCTTTGAGCCAGGCACTGGGGGGCCAGTGGCCAGGATAGCAGGCTCAGGGATGTGGGGGACATGTCTGGCCACCAGCTTGTTGTATGCAGCAGCTTTTGCCCCCTTGCCTGTCCTTGCCCACAGTGCCTCTGGGCTCCCACTGTGTTCTGTGGAAGTCTGGGGCTCAGTGACCACTAGGGAGATGATAGTCTCAGAGGCTCCCAGGAAGTTTTTGGCCTGGCAGATGTAGTCTCCAGAGTCAAGGTGGGACACAGCAGGAAGGCCCAGCAGAGTCCAGCTTGTGCCGTCACTGGAGACTTCCTGGTGCACTGGGGGGAAAGAGGCATATGTGAGAATAAATGGACCCATCTGCCCAAGCTTCCTTCCAGGGCAAGTTCACAGCCCCTGGACCGCACACTCTACTAAAGACCCTGTCACCCCAAGAAAACACTGGGACTCATTCAACTTTTCTTAGACTAGCCAAGGAGATTGAGATCAGCTAGGTTCAAATTTGGGAAGACCCAGGTTGAATCAGAGCCTAAGAATGATCTGCCTTCTAAATTCGAGATGTTCAAACTGTGTTCCTCAGGGCTCTGGAGTCTGCAGAGCTGACCCCTCAGGGGTGGCGGGTGCTTTGGAGGGACGGTGGGTTGGGGTGGATGTGAGGCAGAAGCCCATCTGGAAGTGCTTTGCCCATTGCTGTCCAGCCCCACTGCCAATCAGTCAGAACACCTTCAACTTCCTGCTTGTGATACGGAGGTCCTTACACAATTTTGTTTGTAAATTGATTTCAAACCCATAGTTCTGGAGCAATGCTTGCCAACCTAGTTGAAGGAGACAGAAAACAGCTGGGAGGAACATGAGCTGTTCTGGTCAGACACTGAGAAGTTATTCCTCATCAACTCTTCCTGCATGAGGGTCAGCTCTGGCTCCGGCAGCTCCACTCCCAGCCCCGCCCAGTGCCAGGGGAACCGCTCTGTCTGCACAGCAAAAAGGGCACACACTGTGTGGTCGACCAGGCTGCATTATATTCCCAGCTCCTCCTTGTAGGGGCTGGGTGATGCAAGCCAAGCATTAGCCTCTCAAAAATCTCAGTTTACTTATATAGAAAATAAGAAGGACATTCTGCTTGTTCTTCAAAGTTTGACAACATTATGCACATAATACATTTAACAAATGAAGAATACATAAATGGTAGCTCCTCATTAGTTACTCCTAGTGCTGCCAGCTTAATATTTACAACTGGGAAACTTGCTATAAATATTAAAAACACTAAGAGAGTATCTTCTATTGAAAGTCAGCACTTTGTTCCTCTCAGGGTGGGTCCAGAGTCTCTGATAAAGTGGCTGGTGGAATACGATAGGACAGGCTGAGACCCATAATTGAAGTCACTGTCCCCATGTCCTCTCTCTGGGTGGAGCCTGCCCAATCCATTCAGACAAAATGGGAGTGAACAGCCTCGTTTAGCCCACCCCCTACTCCGTGGCAAACCTGGCTCTGCCCATTTGGGACACTAACCCACCCGCCCTACTCTGGGGTCTCAACACAGCAGTCCCTGTAGCTCACACACCTGTGCCATTGAGTGGGTACCCATTGACCCTCCTCCAGCTCATCTCGGGCCCAGGGACCCCAGTGGCTCCACAACGTAGCAGCACTGTGCTGCCCCAAGGAGACCTGATGCTGGCCACCTCCTGACGGAGCTCCGGACTCTGGCACTTCCTCAGTTCCAGCTGGTCAAAGGCCACTCCGGCCAGACTGCGTGGGCTGGCACACCTCAGTCTGGCCTCTATGAAGGCCAGGTTTGGGGCCCAGCCTCCCAGGAAATGGACCAGGTCATAGAGTCGGCAGTCACACACCCAGGGGTTGTCTTGCAGCCCTGCAGGCATGAGAGGCAAGAGGTCAGCCCTAGCGATTCAGGTCCCTAGGCCCACTTCCCCTCCCCCCCTCAGGGAGGACAAGGCAGGTCCTGAGCTCAGAGTCAGCAGAACTGGCCTCCACGCCCAGCTCCTTGCCTCGTGGGCTATGCAAACTTAAGCCTGGTTCTTCATCTCTAATGATCACGCAACTTCTTTTTCAGGGTTGTCATAAGCATAAATAAAGAAAAATCATGTTAAGCATTGGGTAGGCCATACAGCACACCAACACGATTAGCAATCACTGCTGCCATTCTTAGGCTGACACTTTCAGACTACTGGCCAGCAAGTACTTCTGCAATACTTGCAATATGCAAAAACCCATGGCCAGGAATGCTTATGACCTCTGTCCTCCCAGCACAAGTGGCACTTTCAGTATCACCCCAGCAGTGAGGGTGGTTGTACTGAGCCATAGTTCCTTTGACAAAGGCTCAAAAGGAGAGAAGAGAGACAGGAATCAAATCCGATGTCACAGCCTGCGCTCTGGACGTGAACACTGAACATTCTTACAGAGCTAAAAGCAGGTCACTGCACCCACCCTGTCAAAAACCTTCAACAGGGGGAGGGTGGCATGTGTCCTCAATTCTAAGGCACAAATCCTCTTTGTATGTTGGTGTTTCTGAAATGCAAAATAGGTGTATTTAATGTGATGTCCTTTTTATCCCCCAAAGACTGTTATTAAATTTGATAGTGTGTCTGATAATCAGTGGCATCTTGTACATTTATATATATATATATATATATGTATATATATATATATAGGTATATATACTTGATTTATTTGGAAGGGGGGG